ATATATATATATATATATATATATATATATATATATATACATATATATACACAGATTTGAATTTTGTTTATGCATGTGGAGCTGCTGATGTTTTGTTGCATAGTGTGTAGCATGCACAAGTCTATCTCTTTCTCCCTCTAGAGCTGCGCTTGATTGCAGTCCAGCTGTGTTGCGAGTGGGAGCGTATATAAATGGAGAAGAGGAACAAAGACTTTTAAAAGTTTAACTAATTTATTTATTCATTCTTTTGTTATTTAATTTTTGTACAGTCCAAATGCCTACACATTTCTTTATTGAAATGTTACAAAAATGATTATTTTCTTCATACAAATAAAAACCATTGCCTCCATGCCTTCTTCATCTCGAGTGGCTTTTTTTTTTTTTTGGTGTATTCATGACAATTTACATGTGTATAATGTTATTAATAATAGCAGTATTATTTATTATATGCATATTTATTTTTGTTTTAATAAAAACAAGTTTAGATTTGCCTACCTGCCAGGTTTTGGAGACATATGCTTCACTATATGGGGCTATGTAGTCTTCTCTATAAGAATAGGACGTGTGTTTGAATACAACTCAGTTATAACAAGCCAGTTAAAATGAAACTATGTGAGTCTGTTTAACTTATAGTATCTGTGAGAAATAAAAAATAAATTTACCACAAGGTGGACCTTTTAAGTTTTATGTTTAACAATCGCTGCTGTCAGTCAAATTGCTATAGAAATAGTTGATATTAAATAGTTCTAGACGTTACACTTGACTTCATCCAAAACCAGATTTGTACAATATCTAAACTGCCTCCCTTGATCGGTAATTTCAAATAAAAATAAAAACATTTGCATTTGTACAGCTATAACAGCGGCATTTAAAGAATGGCAGTGATCAGATATACCAAAATATGTATCACATTCTTAAAACAAAAACATATAACAAAGGTGAGCACATATGCATATTATTCTGAAAAAAAGTGAACTTAAGGATATCAAAGCATAGGTGGCTCTACAGCTCAAGAATAAAAAAAGGCTGAATTTGAAAGGAAAACTATGATTTTATTACAAAAATTTGATTTTACAGTTGCAGTTAAAGGCCTTAAAAAGGTTTAGCATAGTTCACCCAAAAATAAAAAATAAAATCCGTCATATTTGTCACAAACCTGTTTGAGTTTCTTTTTTTATGCTTAACACAAAAGAACATGTTTTGAAAAATGTTAAAACTGTTATAGAACTGTTTTTCCTACTATGGATACCAATGGTTACCTGTTTCCAACAATCTTCAAAATATCTTCTTTAGTGTAACGATTCTTTAGTGTAATGACCTAAAACCACTTGAGAGTGAGTACATTTTTTAGGGTATCTATCCCTTTAACTGGCAACCATGGTTGATTATTATTATTATTATTATTACTATTATTATTACTATTATTATTATTATTATTATTATTGTTATTATTATTTTTATTATTATTAATATTAATATTACAGCATATGTGGTCTATCTAACTTCCTAAGTTTAGCAATCATCATTTTCTAAACTTGATCAGAAGAAAAGATGTATATATTATAAAAATTCCCTATTTTGTGCAACTCATGCAAAAACACCAGAGAGCACAGGGCTGGGCTTGTACAAACTGTCTCATACTGGTGTTTCATACTGAGTGTGTTTTCTGCAAGAGGAATGCAATACCTGAGTCTCACGCAGAGCAGACACCCATGACGCACAGCTGTCTGGACTGGGTGTGGACATGATATGCACACTTAGAGGGCAGCCTAGATCACCGACCTCCACCAGCATAAATGAATCTACCAGACAGAGCCAAACAGTAAACAAAAAACTGTAAGAATCAATGAAGTGCCTTATATTAAGCATTTCATGAATTATGTTCTTGTTCTAGAGCTAATATGTACCTGCATATTACCTGTTCAGATAATTTGCATGTTTAAATAAACAATTGCACAATCATAATACATTTTTTAATGACAGTGAACTTGCATGAGCAGGTCTTTGACACACCTTAGGTGGAGTAAGTGTCTTATTCAAACAGCTCAATAATTAGAAACCAGATCATCAAGTAAATACCCATTGTGTGTTCCCTGACATTCAAAGAACTTTTGCTAAAGTGTATAACACAGAACTTGAGGCCTTCTTCATGTGGAAAAATAGAGTGGTCTGCGTGTAATTTAATAATTTAATTAGATTCATCTCTATTTCTATAGAGTTTTTACAATGTAGATTGTATAGAGTTTTTACAATGTAGATTGTGTTAAAGCAGCTTCACATATATGATTATAGTGAATTTTATTATGCGTTTGTCTTGCATGAAGCAACAGTGTAATATTAATAGTGTTGAGGTAAGGCATTACAAGTAATGCGAGTTACGTAATAAACGTTTCTAAGTAACGAGTAAAGTAACGAATTACTGAAAAAGTTAAATATTTGAGTTTATTTTTTGAAACTGTAATGCGAGTTACTTTTAATTTAATCAATTAGTATGGAGTTAATTTAGGGCCATATATGGGTATTTAGGGCAGGCCCAGACCTGCCTCCATTTAAGCAACATCATCACCTGGAGACACAGTATCACTGAAGTGGTCTTACAGGCCAATAGGTCATGATCTCTCATAAACGCCCAAGTTCTTTTGACTCCGCCCCCTTGTCAAATCAGGGACACAAAGTGAAACATGCAGAAACCTGAAGTGCAAAGTGAAAACAACATCGCAAACTTGTGATTGACCAAATAAAACAAATCAAAATGAGCATTGCACTTGACTGGATGGGTTTTGTAAAGGCAATGCTAAAAATAATAATAATAATAATTTGAATGCAAATATTTTAATTTATTTTGCCACTGCTTGATTTTTATGTGCAGTTCTTCAAATTTTTTCATTTTTATTTCTAAAAACTTATTTTTTTTCCTTTACAGTTCTTTATTTTTATTAGCAGAATAATTTTTTATTTCTCAAAAATACATTTTCGCTTTGCGATTTTTGGAGATTTGCGTTTATTTAATTATTTTGCTCAATACTTTATTTTTTGTTTGCAAAACTTTATTTTGTTTTGCAAGTATATATGGCCTTAGAATGACTCCATAAAATAACTTTTTTAAATATATATTGCTGAGATAAAATTCAAGTAGTCACAATGAATCAAGCAGTCAATGAGAGAATGTGTTCATTATTTTGAACACATCAAAGAAAAGGAAAAAGAGATTGACTTAATGGACTGTAATTTAACTTAAGACAAATAGTAAAAAAGTAGCAAACACATTGCTTTAAGCGTTCAATAATCTGCATACATGGCATGTATAGCTCTGGAGTCAGTATAGCTCTGGAGTCAGGCAGGAAGTTCTCTAGGGCCTGTGTCAGTAAAGAGGTTCAACCAACTCAGAGTTTAAACTTGAACTCTGAGTTAATTTATCGAGATATTAAAAACTCTGAGATTTCAGTTTCAGAACAGTTGATCTGAGTTATATCAATCAACTTTGAGTAGACCAACTCAGAGTTAAGCGCACTACCGCCACTAAAAAAGGCATTATCAATGGAGCGCGGATATTACGAGTGACTAAGGCAACATCCTAAAAAAAGATATCACCATTTCTTTCTCCAGCTGAACTTGATGTGCTCATGCAAGGTTATTTCAAATATGACCATATATTTAAAAAAGCAACACCTCTGCATCAGTGAAACAGACAGCTAGTGTGGGAAAACAGCTGCTCAGGTTAATGTGTAATTTTACATTTTTACATTTTACTAAAGTATTGAAATATTTTGGTATAATAAAATAAGTAATTTTATTTGTAACATTTATAAAAAAAATTACACACATTCCCACTTTTATACACGTTATCAGTTTTAATAGATTTAAAAGTGCACTTGGGTGTCTGCCTTTTTTATCGATCAAGTGATAGACGCTGATATGACATTAAGAATGCAAGCAGAACTAAACAATAGTTTTAAAAAAAAATAATAATCCCATTAATCTAGTTACAGTACATGTTGAAGGTCAGTGAATTAAGGCTAATTATTTATGTAAAATGACAAGCCATTCTCTTACATGACTTTGTTCTTCATGTGACTCAAATGTATTCAATAGCTAAGTTTCCATCCAAATATATTACATTTTTGTGCAAAACTCAATAATGCATAAGAGATGTGCGAATGAAGCAGCGCTTCCATTGTAGTTTAGGCAAATATTTTCTATTGAATAAAAGTTTATCCTACTCAGTTATGCACAAGTTTTTTTATGAGGATTTTCAAAAGTTATGTGCATCATGACATTTCCATCAATAGTTTTTATGCGCATCTCCAAATTGAGCATTAAAATGGGTGAGTGGAAATGTAAGGCTAAGGCGAGAAATACCGCTTCATCTTTAAAAAAAGGGGAGGAGACTGACAGAAACTCAGAGTTTAGAGAATAAAACCTGCTCCTGACTAGGTTAAGTTCACAGAGTAGGTTACCACAGTAACTGACTCTGAGTTAAAGTTACCTCTCTTTCTGAAACAGGCTTGACTTACCCTGCTTTCTCTAGTTTAACAAACCTGCCATTTTGAGACGGAAAAACCAGAGTTCCTCTCATTCCAGGGTTAAAATACTCTTTTTACTTAACCTCCTTTCTGAAACAGGCCCCTGATCACATTAAATGTATTTTTTGATCTGGTTTTTTTTTAAGTAAAGGTGTAGGTTATACATTGTGTTGTAAATTGCAGAGCTCTGCTATTAAAAACAGAAAGAAGAAAACAAGTTTTGAAACAGATTAGACAATAAAAAGTAATGCAAAAGTAACGTAACGCATTACTTACTATAAAAAGTAACTAAGTAACGTACTGTAACTAGTAACTGTTTTGGGGAGTAACTCAATATTGTAATGCATCACTTTCAAAAGTTCCTGAATATAAGTAATACGTTACATTTGTAAAATTGTAAAATTATAATATAATTAAACAATGCTAAATATCATGATGTTAAAAAAAACTAATTTACTACCATGTTTTACGCTAATACATCATATAATTACAACTAATTAATAATCTAGAGTTCAGACTTTCCCACTTGTAAACATGACTTTTTTATATTATTTATTTATATTATTTATGACTGTTAGGTCATTCATTAATTTTCTTTCGGCTTAATCCCTTATTTATAAGGGGTCGCCACAGCGGAATGAATCGGCAATTATTCCAGCATATGTTTTACACTGCTGATGCCCTTCCAATCGCAACCTAGTGCTGGGAAAATTGTTAGGTGTATGTATGTATGTCCTGGGCCTGGTTTTAAAAAGGAGGTTAAGTGAAAACTCAGAGTATGTTAACCCTGAAATGAGAGAAACTCTGGGTTTTCCATTTCAAAATGGCAGGTTTGTCAAACTCGAGAAAGCCGGGTAAGTCAAGCCTTTTTCTGAAAGAGAGGTAACTTTAACTCTTTTTATTTGATTAGAAAAAAATTGCATGAACTTTGATAGAAACTTTTACTGAACAAATGCCAGTATGTGCATTAAAAAAGGTCATGTGATTTTGTTATAAGAGATCATGTGATGACAAAAATGTGTGTGAATGGATAAATCAGCAGGATGAGCTCATTGTTAAACATCTGAAATGTGGTTTTGGTCATTCTAAAACGCTAACACACGTTTATTGTGTGTCAAGATTGCCTCCTGAGGTGCAAATAATTTATAAATAAAGAAAAGATTCAAGCAGCTTCTTCTACGCAGTAAATTCTGTTTTTAATGTTGATATTTGGTGCCAGTTAATCAGGAAGTGACGATTTTGTTGACTCGTTGGATGAAAAAGCTCTTTTGTTTGCATGTCTTTTATTGCGCATAAAGTTAATTTGCATTTTTGGATGGAAACATAGCTAATGTCTACATTTTAGCCACACAAAAAACAAAGTTATGAAAATGGCCATTTTCATTTTTAATAAATAATTTGCTTAAATTTACTGACCTTCGTACTGTAACTGAATTATTACTCATTCTACAAACTATTTTTTAGTACTGCTTACATTCTAAATGCCATATCAACCTCTAGCACTTAATCAATAAAGAGACACACAAGTGCACTTTTAAATCTATTTAAAACTCAATTTTAGAAATTTTATCTTAAACTGATAAACGTAAGTAAAAGTGGGAACCTTAAATTAAACATTTCCACTAAACATTGAGTGAAGGTTATCTGCATTCGTGTTTTGTCAAATTTGTTGTAGAAACTATGCAGTAGCCTATTTTATGTAATTTAATGCAGTTACATCTGAAATAACTTATGAAAATTATGGCCAGTTCCCCACTTTTTTAAGTGAGTCTATAAAGTCCATAAATGTCACACATTACATTACTTATTTATCATACCTAAATATATTATTAATTTTAATGTAAACTTACACATTAACTTGAGCAGCTGTTTTTCCATGCTAACTGTCTTTGTTTCACTGCAGTGTTGCTTTTTTTTTTAAAATATATGGTCATATTTGCTATAACTTTGCATGAGCAGATCAAGTTCAGCTGGAGAAAGAAATTCTGATCTCTTTTTTCAGATGTTGTCATAGTGACTTGTAATATCGGGGCTCCATTGATAATACCCATTTATAGTTAATAATTGGTGTGCGCGCTTAACTCCGATTTGGTCTACTCAAAGTTGATTGACCTAACTTATATTAGCTATTCTGAAACCGAAAACTCTGAATTTTGAATCCCTCAGTAAGTCAACTAAGAGGTCAAGTTTAAACTGCGAGTTGGTTGAACCTCCTTACTGAAACAGGACCCTGGTCCTCCAGGTTGTGGCTTGAGCATTGGGCTAATGACCCACCTAGT